GGATGGGAGGGGTTTTGGAGTAGGAGGGGCTATAGGGTGGGAGGGGCTATAGGGGACGGGAGGGGCTATGGGAGTGTGATCAGTTGGCTGTGGTCATGGGTGTGGTTGGTGGGTGTGGTCAGTGGGCGTGGCCTTTGGTGGGGGGGTGGGTTTTCCACAGGAATCCCTCCAGAGCCCCCTCCCCAATCCAGCACGGGGCAGAGTCCCCTCCTGCCCCAGCAGGACACGACAGGGACAGGGACACGGCAGGGTCCCATTGCCACACTGTCCCAGCCCAGTGTCCCAAATCTGTGTCCCATCCCAATGTCCCCATTCCCATGCCCCTATTTCGGTGTCCCCATCCCAATGTCCCCATTTCAATGTCCCCATTTCAGTGTCCCCATCCCAATGTCCCCATTTCAGTGTCCCCATTTCAGTGTCCCCATCCCAATGTCCCCATTTCTGTGTCCTCATCCTGGTGCTTCATCCCAATGTCCCCATATTCGTGCCCCATCCAGATATCTTCATCCTGTTTTGTCCCTGTCCCCAGTGTCCCCATCCCAATCTCCTCACTTCAGTGTTCCCATCTCAATGTCCCCATTTCGGTGTCCCCATCCCAATGTCCCATCTCTTTGTTCCATCCCAATTTCCCTACCCTGATGTCCCCAGCCCGGTGTCCCCATCATCCCAATGTCTCCATTTCAATGCCCCCATTTCAATGTCCCCATTTCAGTGGCCCCATCATCCCAATGTCCCCATCCCACTGTCCCCCATCCCAATGTCCCCATTTCGGTGTCCCCATCCCAGTGCCTCATCCCAATGTCCCTTTTCTTTGTCTCATCCCAATGTCCGCATTTCTGTGTCCCCATCACAGCGTCCGCCATCCTGGTGTCCCATTCCAATGTCCCCATCTCCACATCCATCCCAATGTCCCTATCCCGGTGTCCTCACCCCAATGTCCCCATCTCCACGTCCAACCCAATGTTCCCATGTCCCTATCCCAGTGTTTTCATCCTGATGTCCCATTCCAATGTCCCCATCTCCATGTCCATCCCAATGTCCCCATGTCCCCATCCCAATGTCCTCACCCCAACATCCACGTCCCATCCTAAAACCCCATTTCTGTTGTCCCTGTGCCAATGTCCTGCCAT